TCAAACCCAGAGCCTTCGGTGTGCTAGGCAAGCACTCTATCACTGACCTGCGCTCTCAGCCCAAAGTCCATCCTTAATGCCAAAGCAGTTCATGTGGTGCTGGGTGGGGATGGCATCACACACACACACACACACACACACACACACACACACACACACACACACACACACTGGGCAGTACTCAGGATCAAACCCAGAGCCTTCGGTGTGCTAGGCAAGCACTCTATCACTGACCTGCGCTCTCAGCCCAAAGTCCATCCTTAATGCCAAAGCAGTTCATGTTCATTACCTTTCTGTGCGAAAACAGCTCTACATGTATGTGTCCTTGGGTTACATACGTCATTCACGTGCTGCACGAAGAGATTTTGGTCAGTGAAGGGCCACATAACGCAGTGCTTCCCTGCAGTCCTATCACCCGGTGACACGCACGGTAGCTGTCTTATTAGTTTGCACACTTCTTATGCTATGAGTTCGCCCCGTGGCACAATCCCCCATCAACTTTTCTCACAACTTTTCCTTGTCCTTAAGCAATACATGACTCGTTTATCGGATGACAATAACACACACCAGGCAGATACATCCGGGTGCTTGTCCTGATAGAACAGAGCAGCCTGGAGCCCTGAGAGTTTAGTACCTGGGCATCTGCCAGTGGGTTCCATGGGAGCCACATACATAACACATCTCGGAGTCTGGCTGGCGCCCGGGGCGGGAGGGTGGGGGTGCTGTTTGTGAGAGTCTGTCCTAGCTAGCTCACAGAGCGGTTCCAAATCAAATGAAACTGTGCTCAGGCACAATGAACCGTACAAAGTGCTCTCTGGTTGAAGAAAAGCCAGCTTTCTGAGGCTAACCAGCCAGACCACAGTGTAGTCAGGGAGTCCCAGCTCAGCCTTTTCAAGGGGCAGAGTCTTGACCTTACCCCCAGGAGCATCAGTGAATGAGCAACAAAGGAAGCTGTGAAAGGCTGTCCGGCCCTGGGACGTTCGGTGTGGGGAAGAGGACGACTGAGCATGTGTGTTGGCTTGTGTCTCCGCCATCCAGCAGGAGAGCATGCCCTTCGCTGTGGTGGGAAGTGACAAGGAGTACCAAGTGAACGGCAAGAGGGTCCTGGGCAGAAAAACACCCTGGGGGATCATCGAAGGTGAGTTGGCCCCTCTCCGGAAGAAGTGGCTATCCAGAGGGCGGCTTAAGCATCCGGAGTCAAAGTGCCGTCCTGGGATACCGATGCCAGCCAGTGGCTGCCATCAAGGAGCTTACAGTCTGGGATGCCAGTCCCCGGTGGGAAGCAATGGCACCATTTAACATGTGACCAGGTGGCAATGACTTGACCTGTCGAATGAATGTAGAACCCGGAGGAGAAACTACTGAGGGTGGAGGGAAAAAAACCAAAAACCGAAAAACCACAGAAAGGGTTTCATATGTGACCTGGCAAAGTGCCAAAGGGTGGTTCGGCTGTTGTCTTAGTCTACCATTTATTAGGGATAGATGTGACCTCAGGTGGGCCCTGATGATTCTGAAAGTTTTCAAGAAGTTACTTCAAGGGTCTCATTCAGGTATAGCTAGAATTTTCCTGCCTGGCCCACAGGACAAATCTTTGTCACCC